GAGAAGAAAATGGAGAACAATTAAAAATAGACTGGGGGAGTAGTATACAGTAGAAGGAAAGAAGAGGAGAAAATGAAGGAAACAGGTGAAAGATCATGAAGAAAATCAGATTTGCCCCTGATGTAACTGTGGATTTCACAGGTTGTGGATGGCAGTGAAGTTACACCTGAGATGAATTTAGCCAAGTTTCATCAATTAGTACTTAATAGATGTTAAGAATATAGTTGGTGAGTTCTGAGGAAGTGTGATGGCTGGCAAGGAGCAGTGAATCCATTAAATGCATCTGAAGCTCCCAGCATCAGCCCAGCAGGAGGGAAGATGATCAGCCAGTCTGGGAAGAGCCACCTGAAGAAAAATGTCTATATTCGGTAGGCAATAGTGGCAATTCTGTGATTGTGGGTGGGGCAAGGATAGACTTGCACTCTCATTTTAATCTCTATTAGAACAGCTAGTTCAGAAGTGCTGGCAACTGAATAGGCAGCATGCTTTCCTCTGTTACTTTTGGACAAAAACCACAGCGTAGTGTTAGGAAGGCCTAGGATGCTGGAGGTGATGTCCTTCTGAGGAGATTGGAGGCGGGGGGGGGAGAGAAACACCAGCAGATTTATTGACTCTGGTATCTTGGCTACACACCAACACCAGTAATCTTAAATATTGCGTGCAGATGTGGTCGCCCCATCTCAAAAAAGAGATATTGGAATTGGAAAAAATTCAGAAAAGTGCAACAAAAATGATTAGGGGTATGGAACAGCTTCCGTATGAGGTGCGATTAAGAAGACTGGTACTTTTCAGCTTGGAAAAGAGACGACTAAGGGGGGATATGATAGAGGTCTATAAAATCATGACGGTGTGGAGAAAGTAAATAAGGAAGTGTTATTTACTCCTTCTCATAACACAAGAACTAGGGGTCACCATATGAAAATAATAGGCAGCAGGTTTAAAACAAACAAAAAGAAGTATTTTTTTCTACACAACGCACAGTCAATCTGTGGAACTCCTTGCTGGAGGATGTTGTGAAAGTCAAGACTATAACAGGGTTCAAAAGAGAACTAGATAAGTTCCTGGAGGATAGGTCCATCAATGGCTATTAGCCAGGATGGTCAGGGATGGTGTCCCTAGCCTCTGTTTGCCAGAAGCTGGGAATACGGGACAGGGAATGGATCACTTGATGATTACCTGTTCTGTTCATTCCCTCTGAGTCATGTGGCATTAGCCACTTTCAGAAGACAGGATACTGGGCTCAATGGACCTTTGGTCTGACCTAGTATGGCCGTTCTTCTGTTCTTAACTTCATCTGTCCCCTGGAGTATTGACCAATTAACATGTTCTTCATTTCTTGCCCTAACTTTTTCTGTAGCACTTGTGTACGCTGTTAACTGCGCCACTTCTGGAATGGAGTGGAATGCAGATGCTGTTTAAGTAGTGGAATGCAATTGGAGGGACTGAGCAGGTTAATTAGTTAATATTTGTAAAGCTTTTGGAGTTCCACCATGGAAGAGTTCCAGGGAAGTGCCCAGTACTATAATTTCATTCTTCCCGAAGTGTATTGCAGCATTTAAAATAGCCACAAGAGGGCACCATTAACACAGTTTTTCATGTCTAGCTATAATATACTCTATCACAGTCCATGACATATTTATCCATTTAAAGAGCTTGTGGATGATCAGTCTGTAAATAAAGATCATAGCGTTTCCCCTCCCCCCAAATAAGTGGCAATTTTTGTACATTGTTATACTGTGCATCTTGAATCACGTTTCCCCAATATGATCACATAATCTTTGAACAAAAATTAACAAATTAAAGTGGTGAGCAATCAAAGAATAATGTTACCAAAATAGATCTAGGTTGACGAATAACTTTTTATGTAAAATTTATAAGTGTTTGTGGTCTTCTTAAATTATATTCCCCAGGATTTAGGACAAGAATACTATAAAACATGTTAAACTAAAATTGGTTGAAATTAGGCCATGCCAACTCTTTCAAACCTTATTGATTTAATATTAACAGCTTTATATATCTTGGGTTTTCTGTGTATGACATACTATTCTCTCTCATATGACCATCCCTGTGTAACAGACAAGAAATCTTAGGCTGAAGCTCATCTTGTGTCACTGGAAAGGAATTTACCCCTAGATTTGCAATAGGATCTCAAATATGAGCAAACCCCTGAGTGGTACAGTCATATTGGGTATTCTTAACATACGAATGCCTCTGACATACTCTCCACTGTGACTGCTATACAGCACAACATTGCTGCAGTTTGCCAGATGATGCTTATCTGCACTTTTTTTGTAAGTTAAGAGCATTTCCAGGCCAACAATGTAAAATCCCAATGAAATGCACCAACCCTGCTTACAAGAGTCCCAGAAGACCTACAGAACCAAAATACTTATTTGCTTATAGCAATATGCCACCACACGAGTAAAGCAGCTAGGGTTGTGGGTTTTAAACCCGTCTGATAGCCGTGTTTAACTGCACTGCTTAGTTAGCTGGGTAGGTTTCTGGTTCCCAAACTTTTCAGGAGCATCAGCTGGCACTCTGGGGGCAAAAATAATAAATAAATCTGAAAGCTTCACATTTTCAGGAGGTCTCTTAGAAGGAAAACCCCCCAGTGATCCATGTGCAGATATGAACCAGGTAACTATATTCAGAACTACCTATCTACTACACACATGCAAATAAGCTTTTCCACATGCACAGAGAGGTAACTTGAAATCTTTGCCAGAGCAATCAGGAAAGCCTGAGGAGTAATAAATGCACTGAAATCTTTTTGAAGCTTCCCACATCCATTCCAATATAACCAAACTGGCTGAAGTTTATTACATTGTTTTTTAAGACATTTAATGGATTTCACATTCAGACTGATCCATTTCCTAACTGGACATTTTCAGGTGCCCAGTAACTTACATTGTATTCTTTGCCAATAAAAGTGGAATGACCCTGAATATTTACTCTGTCTAATTTAATAGGTTGCATTCTTTTACCTAGACAGAAGCATATACTTACAGCATGGGGCAGAGCAACCCACTTTCTAGGTAAAAAAGGCCAGTGAGAGCACATCATAAAATGTACCATGCCATACACTGGCTCCTTATCAAATACTAGAGCTCCATCTTAGAGTAGGGCCATAGCTATTTCAGGGATTGCCTCTTTGCAACTCCGATGACACAGTGTCCTACCAAGACTTTATGGGCTGACAGATCAACAGTCAGACTCAGTGGCAGGGCACTCTTAGCATCAGGCCTTTAGCTATTAAATTCCCCCATTACTGGAGGGTAGGATGAACCCAGGACTTTCCACCTTTAAGAATACATTTCAAAACCCATCTGTTACCCTAACACAGATGGCTGCAGATTAGCCCAGCTAAATTTCTCAAGAAGAAAAACCTGAGAGTCAAAAGCACCACAATGGCAAAAGTCTGATCATAACTGTGCTTTCAAAGTCGAGGGTTTGTATATAGATATTATAGCAATGTGAAGATAGATGGCCAGATTGGCAGACACTCGTTTTGTACTTCTCTGTATGCAAATACAGGAGGAATTTTAGTGGATTGCACATCTCCCCATGCACGCCCTCGCTAAACCAACAATAATCCATCTTGCCCTGGATTGTCTTTGTGTTGTCACATTACACTGAGCTGAATTGCGCAGTGCCTCACCTAAGACACAGCAAATACAATGTGAGATTAAGACTGCCTTCTCTCTTCTAGGGAAACATTCCTCTGCCCAAATTGCTCATTTGTAGCAAGTAGAGAGTCCTTTCCACAGAGCCATCCAACAGCAAGACTTGTTCTGACATATATGGTTTCTAGTGAACCTGGTGACATGCTGTCCTGTCAGAAAACACTTCAACAAAGAGCAGTTCTGTTTAAAAAGTAAAGGATTTAGACTACATAACATCTATTTATTAATATCTTCAGAATGTTAGGAGCTGGCCAGAGAAAGATAACAGTCCCTGGCAAGGAGCTTACCGTCTGGCTAGGACAGTAAAATATAGTGTAGAAAAAACAATGCATCTAGTAATCAGAAAGGAGCCCAACAACAAGCCAGGGCCCATTATAAGAAAGCAAATACATCTTTATAACAGGTCCATGCTTATCCTGTTACTCGTGTACTTTTGCCCTATTGCTCAGTTTCAAGAGAGAAAGTGCTTGCACGTTTGCAATGTAAAAGTATTCAGAGGTTTCTCCATGGACAGAGTGTTATAATTAACACTAGTAATTGTATTTCTGGAGAGGCAAAGAGACCCAGGTCTAAGCTCTTAAAGGAAATGCTCCTGCATACAGTCAAGGACTACGTGCTACTCTCTCAAGCCAGCAGCGACCCAAATTCAAACATTTTCCATAATATTTGAATAATGTCCCACTGACTAACTCATTTCCTCAATGTCTTTCTGACCTTCCTTTCACTAAGCCATAAAACATACACCCCAGGCCTTATTAGGTGAAACTACATAATCCCTACCCTCAGAAGTGAATGCTCCCTACGTTGCAGCCCTCAAGTTTCAAGATCTTTACTAACTTCCTCCCTATAAAACACACATTTTAGACACCATACTTGAAATCACAAAGCAGTTGGTCTTCCCCTTCACTACCACCCACTGGATTTCAAAACATCCTTTGGTTTCCTTTAAGTAAACTAGAATTGAACTGGGTCTTTTGCCAGCAGTAGGAGGAAAGCATGTGCTTTACAAGGTCACGTTGCAACGTGTATAATTCTCAGACCTGGGAAAAGCAGCAATATATATCTGCCCATCCCCTCCCTTGTGTACCTAGGGTGATTATATGACAGGAAATTTAACATTTTGACTGGCAGACTGGAGGCTGGCAGACAGAAGTAGTGCCTGATTCTCCCCGATTGACACCAGAGTAAGTGAGAAGCCAATTGAGTTAGACTGGTTTGGAAAGAAAGTGAAGGGAGAATCAGGACCGTAGTTTGTTCTTGGGTTTTTTTTTCCCCCCAAAAGAGAGTTATCTGCTGTACTTCAAAAGGCAGACTCACCGCAGCGATCCCTAATGACCAGGTTCCGGCCTTCTTTCAGGTGTATTGTCAGTAGGTAAGCAAAGGAGCTTGACAAGCTGCTCAAACAGTCATTTCCTTCCTCAAGAGGCTGTGGCAAGGCAAAGAAGCCAGTCATCAGTTTCACCATCTATACAGCTCAGCTCACACACAAAAACATGCTTTCTATTTCTGGAGTGACTTGAAATTCACAGGCCTCATTTCCTCTCCTTATGCAAGAGGAATCCTGGTTACGCATGTCTTGGCGCATGTGCACACACTCACACACAAGCCAACTTTCAAAGGCTTTGTTTTAAAGCCTGTGTCAGAATTACCTATTTTCTTCATTTTAATCATAAATATTGCTGGTCGGGAATTTCCAACAAGACAGAGCTTTGTCGGAAAAAGCTGATTCGGCTAACCCGAAAATTATTTTCCAGAAACATCTTGAGTTTGATGAACTTTTATCAAAGCACAGGCAGAGTTCCAAAAGAAACCTGTCTGGTTTCCCGGCAGCCTGCTTAGGACTTTGGGGCTTCTAGTGTCCACAGCTCCAAAGCAGCCCTGCCATGCAGGCTGCCTCAGCAGCAGACCAATTATTTATTGTCAATTTCAGACAGCAGCTGCCTTGGTCTGGAAGCATAATTCATTTTGAAACAACATGTTTCTGAGCTTCCGAAGCCAAATCCTTTTGGAATTTCTGGTCTGCAGGAAATTTCGAAATACTGAAAATTCCTATGAACTAGAAATCCCGAATTGCAGCCAGCTTTAGTAGTAATTATAACAAACACATAATGCAAATAATGGTAACCAGAACAACATCACAGACATGCACAAGAGATAGAAAAAGGGTAATATAAAGGATGGGCCATAAGCGAGAATGACAAATAATACTGTAGATATGCATTGTACGCTGGTTATGTCCATATTGAGATTTCCAAGTCAGAGTAACATAAAATTATGTTCTTTTCCTCCTACTTTCTTGTACTTTTTACATTCATCTCCACTCAGAGATGTTCATTGCCAATATATAACATTTCTCTGGACATGTTATTTAGATTAAGGTATCTAATATTTTACAGTCTTTCCCTATGTATTTGTGCAGCATTTATCACAATGGGGCCCTGATCTTGGTTGGGAACTCTAGATGTTGCCATAATATAAACCATCATCATCATCCCGACTGTATCTTCAGATAAAACATCTAATTTAGATCACCATTATGGAGGAAGATAATGGAGTTCAGGATGTTAATGGTAAAAGTCCCAGAGTTGAATCCAAATTTTGCAAATACACATTGCGCCCACTGAGCGTGTGTGTACGTTAACAATGCCTTTTTAACATGGCCAGCATGTGTCATAACCCGGTTTGCTTTAGACTGCCTGGAGGATGATGAAAGGTGAACTCAATAGTAAAAGCTTGAGCCCAAATAAACATTGCAATGGCTCTACCCCCATATTCAAATAATATCCCTCAGTCCCAAAATCCACTCCAAGTTTTTCCTACATCTTCCAAGTAGTTGAATACATACCCTGGTGCTTTTTGCAGCACATTTCTCCAAAACAAACAATTTGTTAGGACCAGATTTTTCTCTAAGCAATACAGTTGGAAGGCTCTTTTGTATCCAACCCTTTCTTTTGAAAAGTATTTGAAAAATGTGGCAGCTTGTATGTGAAATCTCATTTGAAAATGATGTTGTTTTCTAGAGTACCTCAGTTCTTTTGACATGTGATTGTCTCACACCACTTCACCCTCCCCTTCCCACACACCAAAAAAAAACAAAAACAAAATATTTTAAGGAAGTTGAAGATTCAGATGTACAGTATTCCCTTTATCTGTAAGGAGCTGAACCCAAATCTAAATTTAACCCACGTTTTCCCAGATAGTCTGCTCAGGATTCAAAACATTTCAAACCCATAAACTTACAATTTGTTCATCAAAAAGTTGAGAGGACATTGAAGATTCTAGATCTATCCCTTCACATGGATGCTGTTAAAAACAAAAATTTAAAAGATGATCAAATAAGCAAAAGAAATATTGGGATTCCCCTCACCTACCACAACAAATATTCTCAGGTCTTAATACTCCATGCAATATGAATCAAACATATAGATGCCCTTAAAACTAAACAGCTCTCTGCCTTTTCAGATGTGGGAGGGGGCAGGCAGTAAACCAAAAAACTAAACAACTATGCATGCTTAAATGTAGCATTAAAAACAGTTGATAAATTAGTGCTTCTGTGGAAGTGACTGTAAAATACATCTTCATTGGCATGGAGGCAGGGTTTGGAAAGGTGAGCCAGTTTCAAGTGTGAGGCTCATAGTACAGATATCCTTTGCCACAAAACATTCATTTGGGCCCTGAACATGGGAAGGGCTGAATACTCCTAACTTCCTATCGGTGCCAGTAGGAGATGAAGGCACTCAGACACTTGAAAGACTCACTGTGTACTGCTCTCCCATTTTACCACAAACTCTGCTTAGAAGACCTCATCTACACATAAAAGTTGTACCACTTTAGCGATACTGGTATAGTTAGCTATACTGGTATAGTTAAAGTGGTACAACCCTTCTAATATGAACCCAGTTATACGGGTATAAATGTATTTATACCAGCATAGCTTATTCACAAGTAAGAAGGAGTATGAACTACGCTAATACAAGATACCTTTACCCTGGTACAACTGCATCCACACTAGCGGCTGTATCAGAATAGCTATAATTGACAGACTTGCATTGGCACTAGTTGGGTGTGGATCAGGCCTAACACAAACACGTCACATGGTATATTGCTATCTTCACTCTCTAGTGGCTGGTCCATACAGAAAAGAAGAGCCTTCTAGTTCTTCCAGCTATTGGAATTAGCTCTTCTGCTCAAATGGTAGAGGCCCATGCTTTCAGTAATGAAGATTCCTGGTTCAAACCCTGCTGATGACTGTGGGGACGAGGGGTAGAGACTGAGAAATTGTTACACTTCCACCAATTTAGTGAATTCCCACTCTGCATTCCAACACTGTCCTAGCGATGCTATACTTATGGATGACAAGATATTTTTTGTCACTGTCCCAATTCCAGGTGCTTAAAAAAAAAAAGAGCAGGAGCAACATCATACTAGAGATAAGCGGAAGGGAAACGACACTTCAGGTTGAAATTTCTAACTCACCTTCTCAATCCAAAGGCATAGTTTTTTAATGGGGAAATCTTTGTAATATCTCACTGTGTATTTTAGTTTGGAGATCTCTAAGCTTGGGGAGGGAGAAAGAAGAAATCAAACTAAAAACTTAGAAATTCAAATAACACCGCCATTTAAATTTTAAAACTTCATACTTGGCATGTGATGTACATAACTCTTCAATCTTTAACTTGGTAAAACATGTTTCCCTCATGAATGAGACAACGGTGGTCAAGGAGATGGGGGGGGGAAAGAAAACACGTTCTGCGCCATTTTCTTTTATGATTGAATAAAATGCTGTCTGGTCCTTCTGCACAGATGGGAAAAGAGGTGGCATGGAGGGAAGGACAGGGTGCAACCTCTGCAGCCAAAGCTTGACTCCTCCAAACCCTAGAGTTTGCATCTGCAAGTGTTTAATGGGTAAGTCAACACTGCACAAATCTTACGACCGCGTGTAGAGCGCTTACCTGTGCTTGGGGGTGTGCAGTGTATAAATAGCACCTTAGAGTACGTACCTTATACAGCTCTACACACATCCAAGCAGTGCATCCCCCGTCTACACTGCTGTTTTTAGCAGTGTAGCATCCCGCTGCCTGTCTGCCACCAGAACCTTTTCCAGGCTCCGGCAGCAGGGAAAGCCCCTGGCAGGGGGTAGGCAGAGGGGAAAGGCTCCATGGGTGGGCAGCTGCTCAGCCTTTCTCCACTGCAAGAAAAGACTCCCACAGCTGGGAAAGGCTCTAGCAGAGGGGAGGTAGTGGGAAGAGGTGCTGGCAGCTCCCTGCTTATGGTGCCTCTACCCTGCTGCCTCCTCCCTGCCAGAGACTTTCCCAGCAGTCACATGTAGCTACACATTGCAATGTGGATGCAGCCTGCTTTCACTGAGGCAGGTAGCGACATGTACCTTACATGCCGCCGCCAGTGGTGTGCAGTGTAAACACACCTTAGGAGCACTCCATGCAGGGGCACTGGAACCCGGGGAGGGGGGGCGCGCACGGGTCCATGGCCCCATCACTTTTTACCAGCCATAAGGACAAGTGATGGGGTGAGGAGAGCGGGGCCTTGGGGGAAAAGGCAGTGCTGGGGCAAGGGCTTGGGGAGAAGGGCCTCAGGGGAAGGGGCAGTGTGGCGGAGGGGCCATAGTTCAGGCACCAGTGGGCCCCCCCACACACACACACACTTTTAGCAGGCTTCCGCTGCTTCTGACTTCATGCATTGAGCCATGGATAGGCTATCTGTAGGGGTAAAAGTGGACATCTGGGTCAGGATACCCCAGATAACACTATGGCCACTGGTACAGGTCCCTGCTCAGATTTCTTCTGCTCTTAGGAGGCATAACATAGAGGGCAGCTGTACTGGTTTCATGCAGGATGATCACATTGGTCAGAATTTCAGCATAGATTAATGCTAAGAAGGATGATATCCCTCTCCTAAACACACCACACACACACAAACGACCCAGAATTCTCTCTCTCTCTCGCTCACTCACACACAGCCCAGAAATCAGTTTTCAAGTGCTGTCATCATTATTTATTATTTGCATGTTGATGGAGCATAGAGGCACGATCAGGGCCCTGTTGTGTTAAGCACTGTACAAACATAATAAAAAGACTAGCTCCTGCCCCAGGCACCTTTCAATCATACAGATACTGATACACTGAATAAATGCAAATGTAGTTATACTTCAAAACTTAAATCACTCCAGTTTTCTTTTTTAATTTTCAAAAAATAAATTGCATTTAAAAAACTACATAATGCCACATTACAACTGACATTTTATCTGCATGATAGGCAGGAAATTTAAAGTTATGGTTCCCACTATAACCATAACTTGGCCACATTGCAAACACATATTAAACTCAGCAAAATTATCATCAGATAATGCAACATAAGAGACTCTCTACATGAAACGGCTGAGTTACAGTTGCTTGGGGACCTTTAATTTTGAATTTTCTGACTAGCGTGCGTAAAATCTCAATTGTGTTGCCTTAAACAGAGTATTTCTAGCAGTCTGAGGCTTTTAAGGAATTTCTGTCAAGTACCATCAACTGTACTGATAATAGTCTGGCTCTACATCTTTGCTATAAACTGCATAAATGGAAGAGCAAAGAACATTGCAGAAAAGTGAAATGAAAAATATTTGTCTCTTTGCTACCTGCATACCATTTATGATAAACCACTTACCCCAAAATTATTAAGTCAACCTTTATTTTTTCCTCGTACATTTTGCATCCTACCTTTGGAACAAAGTTATAGTTTTCAGATAATGAAACTAGTTATAATTTGGTTTCCATATAGTCCTATTATTCTAGTAAATCTAATTTCACTGAGACTCTTGAATATGCATGCCTAAAAACATGGCATTGACTCCTTGGTGTTATACAACAACAATGCAGCTAAGTTAGTTTTTGCAATTAAAATTGAGCAACATCAATATTTAGTCTTTTTTTCCAAAATGGAAATTTTTTTATTATATATAAAGAGGTTAACAGAAATGGGGAAAAGTCATGAAAATTTTCATATTTACATTTTTGGTCCAAATTTCATTTGGTCAGAATGTCCCACAATAGGAGATATGCAAACCCTGATTCTGATCTGATCAATAGTGAAGCCAGGAGCAACTTCTTTGAAGTCAATGGAGTTACACTGAGGTAAGAGAGACTCAGGTTCACAGCTTGGAGAATTCTTTTTTTTTTTTTTTTTTTTTTTTAAGGATTTAGACTGAAAGTGCAAAATGAGAAGAGATACATAGGGAGCCAAATCTGGATCAGAGAAAACTTCTGTTAAATCAGGTGCTCAAGGTCACAAGGAGAATTTTGCCCAAATAAGGTTTGCAGAATTTGACCTCCCAGGCCTGCTGATGGGGGTGGGGGGGGTGGCAAAGGGGGCAATTACCCTGGGGCCCAGAATTGCTGTCGGTGGGCCTGTGACCTCCTATACTTGAACTGTAAAATCAGCATCATTCACATAGCTAATGTTTCTTAGTCATTCACCTTATAAACCAGAATATAAAGCGCTGTCCAATTCCTGCTCAAATGTAGGAAGAGATTTTCCCTCTATCATTGTTATTTGTATTCTGGTAGTATCCAGAGGCCCTAATCAGGATTGAAGTCCTACTGTGCTTGTTGCTGTAGAGACACACAGCAAGACAGTCCCTATCCCCAAAGACCTTACAATCTCCATCTTCTCTGACCTTATCTGGAGGGACAGTTGAGATACAAGCAGGCAATGGGATAGGACCCAGGTCGTTAGTGACCTACTGTAAAGTTGTTACTAGTTATGACTTGGTGGTCTTAGTCCATTTACCATGCCAAAGTATCCATGTCTCAAAAGAAACCCCAACAACTGCATTAATTGGCACCCTTGTGGGTGTCTCAGCAGAGAGGCCAGGGATTAAATGGGTTATTAAACTCAAGCTTCTCTTTCATCCTTAGAGGTCATCCCTCCAAATCAGAGTTGAGGGACACTGGTGTGTGCAGGAAGGCTACACGGCTGCTGCTGCTTGTGATATACCTGTTCCGTGGATAAACTGGCCTTCCATCTTTAGGGTTGTCAAACTGCCACCCTTCTCCAGTGTATAATGAGTATAACGACATTTCAGCGGGCACCTAATAAATGTGATCACTCATCAAAGCCTATCCTCCTTGCATTAGGCCAAATTCTGCTGTCATTTAAACTGGTGTAAATCCGGAGTCACTCCACTGCAGTCCCTGAAATTACTACAATGGAGTGAATGTCAGCAGGATGGAGCCCAGTATTTTGTTTCATTTACCATTTTAAATAAGCTAACAAAATAAGACACACAGAGGAAACACTTCTGT